ACTTTCCAAAAAAATACTTCTACCAATTCCTTCATCCGTATCATCTACTCGTTCCACCTTCTCATCCCGATCCAACATTATGCTTCGGGCCTCCATCTTATTATCTTGAATCTACTGTTCGTCCCCCAGCTGATCCGTAATGTTTGCACAACCTTTCTACTAGCTTTCCAACGTATCTGCACCTACAACACCATCTATCTCGTCTGCCTACTTCGACAACGGTACAATAATTACCCCACTAATTAACTGGGCCAAGCACTGCAACAAATGCTCTTTCAGAAGACAGTAGTCCGGAAAAAGTGGCCGATCTCTTCAACCAACACTTTTCTAGAATTGCGGCTGAACTCACTAAGAGTCTAAAACCGCAAAATTTAACATCATTACTTTCTCAAAAAATTTTCGACACGATTTTTATTTACTAAACTTTTTCTATCGAAATCTTACTAATGATCAGTAAACTAAAAAATAAATATTACTCTGGTTTAGATGATTCTTTATTGAAAGAATTTAAGGATTCTTTATTGAAAACTTGTGTACATGCCTTTAGACACCCGATAACTCACATTTTCAATGCTTCTTTATGCACAGGAATATTTCCAGATAATTTAAAAATAGTAAAATTTAAGCCACGTTTATAAAAGGGAGCCAAAATGAAATTCAAAATTAGCGATTAATTTCTCTTTTGTCAGCTTTCTCAAAAATATTAGAGATGCTTTTCTATACGCGAATGAAAACGTTTCTCAAGAAAAACCAAGAGGTTTTAGACTCACAACACGGGTTTAGAAAATCAAAATATACGGGAACAGTGAATTTTTTTTTGAAGATGTTGCTTCATCAATAGACCAAAATGAAGCGCCCATTGGATTTTTTTAGATCTTTCTAAAGATTTTGACGTTATTGACCATAAAATCCTGGTCTTAAAATTATCTTCATATGGAATTCGTGGTATTGCCCTAGACTCAAAAACCTCGCATCTTAAGCATGGATCCCAAAATAGTAGAAATACTGGTACAAAAATGTATTCTTTACTTATATTTTCAATTTTTTTTACCATTTGAATATGGGATCCCGCAAGGCTTGATATTAGGTCCTTACCTCTTTCTGTTATACGTAAACGAAATGGTATGCCCTCGTCTAGTAAAACGGTTCTGTTTGCCAATGATACGAATGTTGTTTGCAAAATAAGAAACAATAAATACTACGATAGATTTTAGAAGTTTCAAATTGGTTTTGCAATAACAAATTAATACTTAATAAAGGAAAAACAGTTTCAATGCATTTTTGCATTTCAAATCAGCAATCGCATGCTGCATTGAAAATGAATATTATGGAATTATGCGATGGCAAGGTACCAAGTAAGGTCTTTCAATTCAGTCAAATCTGAAATGAAATGTACATATAACAAAATTAAACACTAAATTAAGTTTATTATGTTACGCCTTCAGAATTCTTACCAATTCTGTCAGCCTTCATGCAGCTCGCGTGTATTTTGCAAATAAACATTTCTGGCTAAGATATGGTATAAAATTCTGGGGAAACTCATCATGTAGTACTCAGACCTCTAGATTGCAAAAGAAAATTATTCGAATAATGAAAAAATACCCTCCGCTTTACCCTTGTAAGCTTCTCTTCATTGAGCTTGGAATCTGACCACTGTCTTTTCTATATATTTACGAATCTGTAATATTTGTCAAAAGTGATTACTTAATGGTGGGAACATAGTTTCATGCAATACAGAGTTTTCGAATTAAACACACGTCGTAAAAAGCACGTTTATCAAGTGTCAGTATCAACAGCTCACAATCAGAAATCCACATACAATACATGTACGTTACTTTACAACGCACTGCCAGATGACATCAAACAAAGTCGCTTCACAAATTTAAGTTCAAAGTAAAATCCTTTCTGCTGCGTAACTGTTTCTATAGTATTAGAAACTATAATGATTGTGAAAGAGAAAAATAATGTTTATTTAAACGAAACAGTGATATGTAATGAATTAGTTTACTTTGTATTGTATACTTTTTTTAAAATACTTAATATGTAACAAATAATGTACTTCAGCTTCCGGGTCAATGACCCCATCTCGATCAGGTTTTTGTCCAGTTTCCCTGATCCATTGAGCAAATGCTGAGATGGCCCCCGTGTTTTGTTTCTGGTCATAAATGTAGCTTCGCTATGCGCACGTTTTGTTGATCTTTCCTCTTGCTTGTAATGGTAGGAGTTGAGGTAAGGGTGAGTTACTATTTTGTTAGCAATGCAGAAAAATCATACTTGCAATTCGTTTACCGATGCAAATAAGTTTTTTATAACACGGAAAAGATAAAGTCTATTTTTTCAAATATTGCTGATCTTGCGATTATTGAAATTTATGTAAAACTTTTACTCAACTTTCAGCTATTTATAGTTAAAATGACGGGGAGGGAGTCTTGAACGCAGGAAAACGTACGCAGATACTTTTCTCCCCCATACGTCATAGTTTTTACTGTTTTTATTATTATTATTATTATTATTATTATTATTATTATTATTATTATTATTATTATTATTATTTTGAGTAAAAAATGTACATCTAAGTGGTACGTTAGGATGACTATGACCGGCAGTGCACGTTATTCATCATTATCACTGAGCATCATATTTGCGGCATGAATAAGTATGTACGATTCTCAGTTTCAACACATGGCTCGTCACAAGAACGAATTTTGAAAAATAGTTATTCCAATAATATAACTTTTTTGCGTCAAACAGTCAATTTTCAACTTCTCAAGAATGCTGGTCGTATTAACCTAAACGTTCACCACTTCTGCAGTTATAGATTTTCATATTAAGAAAATGCAAATTACAATAGTATTGCTATTATTGTAAATCTATCTGTGGTTACTAACCTACAACGCACATGTTTCGTGGATTCCTCTGTTTACATATCTGACTCAATATATCATGAAGGAGAAAGAAGGCTGCACTGTCTCAGGCAGACTGTAGTAGTGTCAATTGTTGATAAACAAACTTAATATTCGCATTTCTTCAGAAGACGTTCATTCTAGACGGTACGTGCGTTTTTGCGATTCATAGCATGAGATACGTTTCACATTTGCGTTATATTTGAGCGTCACGATGCGTCGTGTCAGTGACGCCCCGAATAGCGAGTTCGGCTTCCTACGTGAACCAGAATAGTAATAAGCAGAAAACATCTTTTCTGGTTGCTGGACACTTACGCTGTTCAATGCATCTCTCACTATGCTTAATTTTAAGTCAACATTGATTTGTTGGTTTCATAAACTGTAAATCAACTTAATAATTCATATAATTGATTAGGGCTACTTAAAGTTACAAGAAGAGCTATGCTTCCTATCGTCTTCAATTCATTATCTTCGATGTGAACTGATGACGAGAATTCGCCGTAAATTACTCGATAGCTAAGTTCCGGTATGGTTCATTATTGATAAGAATGTATTACCTTTCTTCCTTCCTAATTATAACCCACTCTCAACTCAGAACACTACTTTCATTATTTTGAATATAATTCACAAGAAAACGAAATTGTCTTAATATGCTCACTTGTCACTACAGTTTCTTCTAGTGCTTTACTTAAAAAGCAAATCTTCCATCGTTCTCCTTGATTCTCGAAATTCTCCTGTGATGTAGAAGGCTTCGAAAAATAAGAAGTGCATTCAAACAACTTCGATGGTACTGCATCAGAAAATTAATAAATATTTGTAATGCGTGTAACATTTGAAAACATTTCTATGGGCCTACTAATTATAAAACATATATTTAATTTGCTTCTGAATGGTTAGAAAACTTAAAACTTGCATTGTAAATTAAAAAAGAATATTCTCAAAAAATCATGCCACACAAAAAATTCTACGTAGTAGACAGATAAATTAGAAACCCAGTATTGCTAACCATTACAACTGGTTATCGATGGTTAGATATTCCAAGAATCTACAATTTACATTATCTCTGTAAAGCAAGATTGGAATAAATATTATTATTATTATTATTATTATTATTATTATTATTATTATTATTATTATTACTTACCTTTTCTTAATTGTGGCCTGTGAAATGGCACAGTCAAAATATTTCCTGGTTTTGAAACGTAGGCAGATGTCTCCCTTTCAATATCGCGTGGATGAAAATGTAACTTTAATACCTTAAACAAAACAGCAATTATAATGTAATTACAATGAATTAAAAGTGCAGTCAGATAAAACAGCCAGCCATTATTTTTAAAGAGGTATATCTTTTGAATAAAAAAATCACTCAGGTAGGCACATTAACAAAACATTTATAACTGTGCTGAAAACACGCTTACCAATGATTGTTTTGAGGGACGAAATTATCCCGATGAATGGCATTCAGCCATTTCTTCTTTAGAGATTCATCTTTTGTGAAGAAGAACACTCTTACAATAGGAGTATTAGTATAATTCTCTTTACAACAGGGCGCACATTTCCGTGGCGTATTTGCTTATGATATAACCCAACGAATCAGCAAGACAATCTCACGGCGTTTCCTACAAGTATTTTGATATTTTATACCACGCGGCCACGTATCCACAACCGTTCAGAAACAGCTGTCCGGGTCCGGTATGGTCGGTTGCTTGCTGCCTACGTCCTCTGATCAAATTCAATGGTTGTGAGGCCTTGTGTCCCAGGTGGCGTGTCCATCACGCTCGCAAGGAGCCTCTAGGCAGCGACTTATCGCTGCAGGTAGCCCCCCTCACCCGGCGGCCGATAGCCGCCAACCACTGATCGACGCGATCCTCCGCCAGGTAGAGCGCTTAGAGAAATGTGTCCACTCAGCTTCGCGTCCGTCGACCTTTTTTGTTTGTCAACCGACTTTAAGAAAGGTTACCATCCTCTGTTTTATTGTTTTATTTGACAGTAAAATACTGAGTTATAATTAAAATATTTCGTTTATTATTAATTTCTTCAGTACGAGAATTCTGCATATTGCTGTTTGACAATATTATTCTTGTTCTTTTTTTTCAGGTTGTGCTCGAAAATTCTTGCCGTGCAGATGAACATGAATGTCCTTTTGGTCGAACAAGTGTGGAGCTTTGCAAATTACTATGCGAAGTTCTGCATATTGGAGAACCTCCAAGCGAACAGGGGCAAAATTTTCATCCAATGTTTTTCACACACGATCATCCATTTGAAGAATTTTTCTGTCTTTGTATCGTTCTATTAAATAAAACCTGGAAAGAAATGCGAGCAACGACGGAAGATTTTGTTAAGGTAAGGAAATTATATTATTTTCACTTATATTTTTATACCTATATGTCTACCGATGAGGCATTGACTTATGACCACCTACTCAATGAGAACCAGCTTTAGCGCGTAAAATCGCATCGAAACGTGGTTGCGGAAGGTTTACTCAGGAATACGATGCCATAAGTATAACGAGTCTTACGGATGACATTCAGTGTAGAGTGGTGGCACGAATCCTCTTGTCCATTTTCAACCAGAAATGTTCAGTTAGTTTTTATCCGAACTATTTGGAGGTCAGAGCATTAATGCAACCATATCCTTCACAACTGTAGCAGTGCGACGTGGCGTTTTGTGCTGTTTCATTGATTGGTTATTTAGTGTTTCAGGACGCGTCGACTGCTATGGGCATTTGTGCCGTAAGTGTAGCGCATGTTTTTATCACGAGAAGGGGACGGTGTTCTTATCCTGCTGAATGGTGAGATTCAGCGCCGACCCGCTTGCGGGGTTTCCCCGTCTATGTATCTTATCAGTGGGGCGCCGCCCCAGCCGAGACAAGTTCTAAGCTCCCTTTTGGTACCCCGATATTTGTAGTAGTTGGTGCATGTAACTGTAAGAGTGTGAGTGTAAGAGGAAAAGGAAGGGGAAGGAAAGTCTGTGGTACGTGCTGTTGGAAGGGGCTGTTGTCCTCATGAGAAATAAAAGAAATAATATTGTTACCAATCACTCCCAAAGGGCGGATAGCTACCAGAAATTATTATTCTGGAATAATGGATTAGTTGAAAATTCTTACTGAGTCTTAGCCGTGAAAACATTCTCTGCACAACATTTTCCTTTTACGTTCCATGTTTTCCTTGAAGAGAGCGAAGGACAATTTTAAATATGTTAGATCCGTTTTTTATGACAACTTGCAAACTTTAGAAAACTTCAAATTCGGATCTCCCGCGTTTCTTTTGCTGTCCTTTAACTTTTGGGGACAATATCGACATTATCGACAATATAATAAATTACAGTTCGACAATATCGACAATATAATAAATTACAGTTCGTAAAAAAATGTAATTTATTCTCCATTTTACCATGGTTTGGTGAACATCTGTTTATTTAAGTGATTTTGTACCCATTTGCTAACGAATTACAAGTAATAAGAAATTATATTTGCGCGCTATAGATGTATTACATATATATTATTAAAAATTATGAAGTAATATTTCACTGCGAAATATCTCTCCGACCACCTTCCGCCCATATCACTATCTAAATTCGAAAAGACGTCGATGTCGGAGTTTTTGTGGTCGGGGAAGGCTGACGAGCATGAGCGTCAAAATTGTCCATGGCAATTGCTCTTCTTGTAGAGGCAAGTAGTGTTTATTGTATCGGCCTCACCAAATCATATCAGCTTCATTCTTGGTTCAGTATATTCAGTGCCAAGATGTATGCAATTCTAGAAGCCCTAAAATACCCCGAGTCGGCGACGTTGTGGCGAGTAGTTCTCTCTTCTAATTCTCTCAACTCATTCCAAGCTGTCTCCCGTTCTTCCTGAGACTACCTGACAAAATCAGTTCGAAACCGACTTCGTCTTCTGTCCCGCCACTAGACGCTGGAACTTTTTTGGGTTACAAGCCATGTGAGAATTACAGGGAATGAGCTGGCCGACCAGGTGGCGAAATCGGCGACGCGGGAGTCCCATATTGACATTCATTCTTTACCATTGTCCGATGTTGAGCCATTTTTTAACGATCCGTCTTTAGAGCGTGGCAAACAGTGGCACAATGCCAATTTTAAACTTAGTGCGATAAAAGATTCTGTTAATCCCTGGCGTCCCTCATCCCGCTCTTCTAGGCGTGAGGATGTCGTTTTAACCCGTCTTCGTATCGGACGCTGCCACTTGTCTCATGGTTTCCTTCTTCGAAGTGACCTCTTTTATCACCAAGTATCAATAATTTTATCTGTCGGAATGTTGATGTGTTGTTGACATTATTAAAAGATGAACAAATTTAATCATCTTTGTCCACATAGATTTACTCAACTTGGAGGGCTTTGTCGTTATCAGTCTAGAAATGTACATAACAAAATCTTAAAACAAATACTGAACAAGAAAATACAATTAATAAAAATATTGAAATTAACTTGTGTCATTTTCTTGTTCATTATTTGTTCATATTTTGTATTGTAGATTTCTGTACTGTTGACGGCAAAGCCGTCTCTCTAAATAAATTATTGTTGACAAAGATGACTGGAATTATTTAATACTCGATTATCTTTTCTATGTGGCAATTATAGATCCATATTTGGCGTTTGTAGAAAATAACATTTGTTGATATGCGAGGATGTGATAGCATTTTCGTCAAATGAAATATAAAATAGCCTACGGTTCTATTGATACCAGCTTCTCGCACATCTTACTTCAGCTTCTATCTTTCTAAGTGTCATGATGATCTTTCTGTGTCTCTTTTTCACATTTTGAACAGTATCAGACGCATTAATTATTTTTACACGAGACACACTTGTTGACTCTTTTTCAAAGGTTTGAATTCAAGTTAAAAATATAAAAATGGTGGTCCCGTTGTACATACTAAATAGAGCTTGCTGGTACGCAAATTAGCGGCATGTCCACCAGCTCCCTATCTATTTTCAAAAGGATCCAAATCACACAGCTCTCATCGTTTTAATTTGGAAAAGGGAACTATGCCACACGGACCCCTTTCCTAAAATGTTTCATTTGGGAACTAGCGGTGCTACCGAAGAACATACTCGCATATCTAAATGCTCCACAATATTATACTACTACATAAACCTGCAAAAGTGTTTAACCAGCAATTTTTTTCTGATCCGAACTCTGAGCCGCAGAGGTATCTGGCCGACACTCATACCACTACGCCACAGAGATTTATGTATCGAACTCGAGCAGTGGACATGAAAGGGAAAATGCCAAATTTATCTAAAAAAATTTCAACAATCAAAATTAGGTTGATTGATTGGATAATAGTAATTCCGGGCGCGTCAACCGCTAAGGTTATTAGTGTCGTAAGTGTAGTGCATGTATTTTGCTGGTTAGATGGCAGTGATCTCCCGTCCCTGGATGGCGCAGACCTACTGTCAGCTAGCAGTATTTTCCCAACGAGCAATCTCCCACTAGCTGGATATCGTCCCAGCGGGACAAGCTCTCGGCTCCCGACCAGTCTCACGGAATGTGCGGTAGTGTAGTGCATGTAAGTGTATAGGTGAGGGGTAGGAATGAACAAACCCGTTTCCTGTTTGGTAGGGTACTGCTCCGGCATTCGCCTCATGTTGATCGGAGAAAACACTGAGAACTACAAATCAGAGCAGTCGGCCGCTAGAATTCTCCTCCAGACAGCCACAGATTTTGATCTAGTTGTCTTGCTAATGTTAGGAATTCGGCCATCGCCAGAACTCGAACCTACGATCTTCCGGTACTATTGTGTCATGAGTTGATGCCTTGAGCCACCACTTCCGGTCAGCAGTTAGAGATATCAAAGTCGGTCACGTGGGCAGTGTTCATAATGTATTTAAATTTCATGTTGGTAGATTCTTTAGTTTACTCATCGGTTCATGTAGAAGCACACAAAGGCAACAATTGATTTAACGCTTTAGAAATTATATAAGAGAGTTGAATCAGTGTTTAAATGTTAGAAATTCGAAAAATTACATACAACCACTTTCGGTGTATTTATCTGTATTGATTGATTTTGTGAGTAGAAGTGCATCAAATGATTTTCAATAAAGTTTCTCAAATTCTCAGTAGTTTTCTGTAGCAACACTGAATTCATGAAAGATAAGTCTCATTTAATTTTCCATGACCGAGACTCGAATCCGCGACCTTTCGCCCCGAAGCGCTGAGTAGAAGCGCTGTTACAGTCTCAGCTATCGAGATGGTCCCAGGTCTTACTCTTCTATGATATCTTTGACATTGTTTCAATTTTACATTTAGGGAGCCGAAACATTGAGAAAATATGAAAGAAAAGTCCTTTGGGTGGCAAACGAAAGTAGCTGGGAAGAGAATAATGCTTATTCGAAAAGCTTTACTATTAAGCAACTCAATTTATGCACATTTTCGTTACCAGGGCCCGACAATAAGTGTTTTTCTGTCGAAACTTCACCGTTTTCCGGCGCACGATTACATAATGTTCCCTTCTTAAGAAGAATCTTCGTAAGGACGAGAAAGTAAGATTGTGTTAGTCTCATTTTGACGATTTTTTCGTATTTGCGAATATTTAAAAAATTGTGCTGGAAAAATGTTGCGTTGACACAATTACATTTTTAAGCGTGAATCCAAGATTGTACTGGCCTTCTGTAGCATTGTTGCATAGGCGACAGTGTGTTAATTCGAAGGATTTGAGTACGAGACTCGGCACGGAAAATAATTTTTGCTGGGTGAAAACACTTTTGCATGTTCATGAAGTAATATAAAATGACGGACGTCAGAAATATTGCAAGAAAGGATGTGATGTTTTCGCACCACTGTTTTTTACCATTTGTTATTGCACATGAGGTTTTTGAGACTTTTTTAGAAAATGCGTAAATTGCAGATCAAATTACACGAAATCAACTCATTTTTCCAAAAAAATTGTTGACGTTTTTAGAGCGCATAGTTTTTTACAACTTACTTTAAGACAAAAATCACTCTTCGATTTTGTTCTTTTAAAATGTTTTTTTGAAAATTCGGAGGATTTGCCGAAAATTGGAATAGCGCGGCTTTTGAGAATAAAAGTGTTTATATTTCGCGCAAAATTACAGGAAAACTAGTCATATTTTAGAAAAATTGAACACGAACGTTTTTAAAGATCCGTCTTCAAGCATCCGTTTTCAGTAAGGAAAAAATCTCTATTTTCGATATAATAGACGTAAGTAGACATCCAAAAAAATTGTCCTTTTGCAATTTTTAAAGAATATGCAATTTTAACAAACATGTAACTTGCACCGTTCTCTTTAAAATACAAATATTTATTTCTCGACTGCTTTGTAGCGCTGCTTCCCTGGTGTTGGTATCCCGGCAAGTCAATATTTTT